ATATATATATATATATATATATATATATATATATATATATATATATATATATATATATATATATATATATATATATATATATATATATATATATATATATATATATATATATATATATATATATATATATATATATATATATATATATATATATATATATATATATATATATATATATATATATATATTAAGATTGTATATAAAAATTGTTATGTAATTAAGCACATTATACTAATTATTAATATTAATAACAACAAATAAATAAGAATAAATTATAACAAATAGTATATTACTATATAATAACATCAATGCACGTGAGAAGATACCCAGAAATAAACACAGTGCTTTTAAGCAGAAACTTTCTCTGCAACTGATTGCATTGTATCAAGTGTCATACTTAACTAGTGAAAAGAAATGACATGATTCTGTTTCATGTTCCTCAACAGATTTAGTTAGTGTAGCTTCTTCCATTTTCTTTCTTTGCTCCACCACACAATGCCACTAGATGGCAGCTTTGTTCTTTTAAAGGTAGACCAATGTACCCAAATGCACCCGAAGATTCAGGTTTGAGCTGGGAAATGGTCACTTTCATGGTTGCTAGACCTAATTTACTGGGGCACAAGCTCTAGTGAGGTATTACTTTTAAATATACTTCTATTATCATTTTGCCGAATTTGTAATAAAAATCCCTATCTGATATTGGATGTTACCATATAGCGACTAAAAAATAATATACATGTCATATCTTAGTGTTTTCAGTTAGCTGTTTAGAGTAAAATATTATTCATTCATAAACTGAAAGCTTAAACACTTTTTTTTAAGACAGTAGCAGCGGCAGGCCAGGAGCCACAGTGCAGAGATCTATAGACCATTTCAATGTGTTCATGTTATTTGTCCATGAATTTATCCTGCTCGTCATCGAACCATTTCATGTAACAAGAAACAATTCAATCATAAAATAATATTAAAACTGCTACCATATCATTATTTATCATTATGTGGCTCTTTTTAGATTCTCTGAAGCTCTAGAAAAAAATATATAAAACAGGAAATACATTGGGACCATTGTTTTTGTTTACATCCCTTACAATGGTCTATATATTTTGGGATATGAACCATTTTTTCATAGATTTTGAATTACTTAATAATACTAATAATAATAGTAATAAAAATTTAAGAACATTACAATTACATATATTTTGAGGTAATATCTGATATGCAGTCAGCAACATTTTAATACAGCCCAATTAGTGCTAATGCATTTTAAAAATAAATTTAACACTTTATTTAATTTACATTGGCTCCATTCTTATCTATTTACATTCTAATTTCAAGGGGCAAGGTGTTCCCCAACCGAGGACCCGCCACAGAGAAAGCTCTGTCCCCTCTACGTTTCAGTTTGGACTTAAGGAACTGAAAGAAGATCTGATCACTTGACCTAAGACCAATATATATAATTCTACATTTATTAATAATTATATAACCAATATTTGACCATATTGAAAATAGTGTTAGATTAATTTTAATGTATTAAATTTAGCCATTAGACCGTATCATGCGATATTGTTTTAAAATACGGAATACAAAAAGAGAGGGTGTGCAAGATTCATCCCATCCTATCTTCCTGTTTTTGATATAAAAAATTAAAAAAAAACAGTGGTGCAGCGATGGTGTCAAAACCAGAAAAAAAAAAATTTGCTGCGGTTTCAGTTTGAGGTTTGATTATTGAGAAAAACAATGACATCTGTAAAAAAACAATCTACTGATTAGTGATATTTCCACATGAAATGTCTATATAATTCTAAATAAAATTGTACAGTGACAGCAACATCTTTTATCAACATGTCATACCTTTTGTCAGAGTACCTTAGAGTTCCCATGAAGTAATGCAACTACTTTGCCCTGACATGCGAGTTGGTCTGATTGCAGTAGCAGGTGTTTGCATGGCAGCATTGTTAAATGTCAGTCTGTAATGCAAGCTGGGCAGCATCTCAAAAT